TCATGCCAGTTAAACACTAGAACTAAACATGTACAAAGAAGCCTCAAAGGAGACGGAAGTGTTATTAAGAGTTACCTTTTCTGCTCTGAACAGTCCAGAAGAAAAACAATGACTACAAATACAGCAGGCAAACTGACTGTTGGACTGATGGGCATAGGATATATATAGTGTTGCAAGGAATTCAGTCTCAAGTTGTGCTAAACGCTCTTTGTCCTCTGTATGGCACGTTTTGGTCCATGATGGGGATTTTACGTTGAGACGAACCCCGATTTCTTACAGAAACGTGTAAATATTGTTGCTCTTTAAAATGCCAGGTGTACTTCCTTCTACAAAGGTTAGGAGAGGTTTTATAGGAAGTAGTCTGGGGTACGACGGGTAACATGAGGCTCTCCACGACGAGGTGCTGGGTCGAACTGGAGGCTGCAGGAAAGAAAAAGGGATCATTTGCCCTCCTCCACCAGGTATTTTCCAATGCCACAATAAATACCAAACTTGCTCTCCTGTCGCTAATGCTTTACGCCACAGAAAAGCAGTCCAGGTCCCCAAACAAGCATCCGTAGGAGTTAAAATTCATCAGCTGGCCGCAGTGCTGCTTACGGAGCGAACACCACCCAGCAGCCAGCACTTCAGCAGCCCACCGCTGCTTTCACCTGAGCTCAGCTGAACGCAGAATTCAGGCGCTTTCACCCATCTTTACAAAAGCCTAGTGCTACTGAAAATAAAAATTAATACATAAAAATCAATCTGTCTTGACTCTCTCCATCAAGCTTGGGCAACAGAGAGATTAAGAAAATGCAGAAGCTCCAACTCCCCAGAGAGCCAGGAAGAAGAGGATAATGCAGTACCCAAGAGAAGCTTTTAAGTGCTTAACTCACTACTTATTTTTAGATATTCTTGCAGGTAGAGCACACAATGTTATTTCCAGAGCGATTTGAGCTGGCTTTTCACGAAAGAACCCCCTCGGGAAGGATAAGACATTCCTCACAAAACAGAACGGTTCGGAAGAGAGAACAGCCCAAGCCAGGTTACTCACAAGGAATATTTTAAAGTGTCATCTAGTTCCATGATAGCAGCCTGGTTCCCGCACCGGTAGCAGTAATTGGGTGCACTGAAAATGGTAACCACATTTCGGTCGTGGCACCAATTATAACCCTGCCAGACAAAGAAGGAAGAAAAAAAAAAAAAAAGTCTCTGTTAAACCTCAAACCTCAGCCTGTCTGAAGTTCCTCTTAAAGCCTGAAATGTTCTGAGGCATTTGTGAAACTGTAGACTTCTCCTAAGTATTTCCAACTGACTTAGTTTCATTTTGAAAGAATTACTCCACCGCAAGAACGAGCGGCTGTTACCTAGCAAACCCAGCTTCAACCACTCTACAGAGAGGTCGGCCATTCGTCACTCGTGTGTTTATCCATTTTGTCTACAAGTTATGGATCATACCACAAAGAAACCCTGAGATCTTTAGGTCTGCCTTCAGCTTTCATCCACCACAAACGAGAACTTGCCTGCTGGATGCGAGTGCCTTCTGACACGCGGTTACTACTTAAGGGATTGACTTGAACTAGATTTTAAAAATACATCTGCTCCATTGACCCACCTGGCATTTTTCCAGCAAGACATACAAGAATAGCCTATCTACAGCCAAAATTATGGCTTAATCCCCGTCACGTCTGACCGCCGAGTATTACAGGACAGCCTGTTTAACGCAGCAGCAGTCTAAGTAGAGCAGTCGGCATGTAAGGAGATTATTACTTCCACAAATGGGGTGTGACAGGGTCTGTTTGGCAATTTACTTGGGGGGGGTGGGGTGGTGGGGAAAGGCAGAACATCCCCTTATTTACATCGCAGGGCAAAGCACGTCATTTTATGTTGCTCGTTGTTTTCACGTGATTAAAATCTCTCCTTGGTATTTACCTGCAGAATATATAGGTGTCAGCTTATGCCAACCCATCAGCCAAAGGTCTCACAGAGGAGACAAGAATTGGCATCTATGTTTTGTTAGCCCCATCTAGCAGAGCACTTGCCCTACCTCCATGACAAGTTGGTGAGCACGGGAGACCAGTGTGAGACCATTGGCATGGTTAAATGTTTCGGAAATATCTTGCCCAAACGTGTAGCCAGCACCACGTGGAGATATACCCCAGCCACCACGATCATCCGGATCCGACCACAACAGATCACACATAGGACCCTTGAAAAAAATTAAGCGTTCTTCATCAGACCACTAGCATGACAGTTATAAAAAGCCACTTTTAAAATACATTTTATTTACAGTAAGACGATTGCCAGCGCGTCCTTCTCTACACAGGACACTTGAGTTTATTTAACGCACATAGTGTCAGCCAGTTACTCACCGTATCAGTCAGCATCCTTCCTAACAAAATGAATACGTACGCAGCTGACTGGGAAAGGAGTCCACGTAACCAGAAAAGTGCTCCCACCTCCTCTTCCACGCGCACCGTTTACCATTGCACTTCAGCTAGTCAGAGATACAAAGGCACGGGGAGCAGATCCACATTCTTACTCCCGACTCTCACAGTGTAATAAGAAAAAGGCCAGGCGAGAAGGTATGCGCATCCAAGGATACGCAATGGGTTTGCCAGTGCCAGGCAAGTTGCAATAAATTAAAGAAAGGGAAGTGACCAGGAGGAGGCTATGAACTAACTGTTCCAGAAATTGACGTTAAGCCCTCAGCAACCCTTCTGGCAGAGTATTAATCATTTAATTTCCTCTCCTAAACAGTTTATTGTTGGACTTGACACACTCAAAAATATCCTGGTGTACATCTTCTAACAGTCACAAATGAAGCTCAGTGGCTCTTCTTGCTGAGCAACTGAGGGGCAGTGAAGGCATTCTAGTGTTTTTCCAAGCCTGCTGCTGTTTCCTACCCACCCATCCAAGCCCTGCGGTAGGGATCACACTGACTACATGTGGAGGTCCTCAGGACAGCCAGCTTTCAGCACACAGATACGCAGCACAGAACTGGGAAAGCCCCAGAGCAAGAATATAACCACTACACCTAACTACAGGTAGATGTCCCAGCAGGTAGCCCCCTGATTCTGGGAGTAGTTTACACAGCTTATCTCAGGTTTTTGAAGGCTCGGGCAGACCTCGCTGCATTGTTCTTGCTGTTACACCAGAGATGTTGCAGGACAAGCAGTTCATTTTAATCAGGGAACATTCAAGTCCATTCGTAAGCCCCAACTGCTCCAACATAAGAAGAGCCATTTGCTACCCTGGCACATCAGAAGATGGTTTCTTCAGTCCTCATCTCAGGCCCCCAAAAAGCGATGAACAAGGTGAAACACCATAGAAGAAAGTATTGGCGGGGGGGGAAGGATGGTGACACAACCTGGCTTCACGTGGTGGTTGTCTGTTCACAAGGAAGTCTGTGACGAGGCTGGAGGTAGTAAACACCTTCCCCCCTGCCAAATACTATTCTTTGAGTCAACATGACAGTCAAAAAAACCCCACGATTCTGTGCAAAACAGCTGTGAAAACCCCATAGCTCACCTTTTGTAGATTGCTGTGATCAAAGCATATTGACTTGTGTGTGTTTTGCCCAAATCTATGTTCATCTGCTCTAGCTCTTGGTAAGGCAATAATCCCCTGTGTAACTGTGTGTCTCACTGCTTAAATGGATTTCAGTGTGAGGCTACATTTGTATTTTCCACCAACAGGTATCTAAGTTTATGATGCATTCCCTTTCCTGTTACCTCATGTGGAACTTCCTGCAGGCGGTCCAGAGCCCTGATATGATCCAGTGTATCTATGGATGGAGAGAGGCCTCCATGGAGACAGAATATCTGTTCCGGGAAAAAAAAAAAAGCAAGCAATCTGTTCAGTGCATATTGTTATGCAAAGACTCATCTCAGAAATAGCTCTTTTTAACTCCATTATCATTCTTTTACAATTCAGCCATCTCACCCCGGCAGCAGAGAAACTGAATTTATTTCCCACAGAAGGAAACAAAACTAAAAGGCTGCAACTCACATGCAGAGATCAGAGCAACAGCAAAGACGCCATGCCTTCAGTCTTAAGAATATCTTGCCTCACATCCAGAACTTAACTCGAATCTAATGTTCCGTGAGGGGATCCCCACTTGTTGAGCAGTCATTTAAAATGAACCATACGTGCAATACCCTGCCATTCCTTCAGCAGCAGAATCAAAAGCCCTCCTGCACCATCAATTTGTATTAACACCTCAGTAAATTCTTCCCCCAAACCCACAATAAGTACATAGTCTTTAAAAAAAAAAAATAATCGGATCACAAGTTAAGGGAGCTTGAGACTGTTTGTGTAGAGGTCAGACAATACAGTCGGCGTAACTCCGTGAACGGGAGCGTTTTCCTTATTCAAGGCTTACCTGGCCATCTACTAGAGCTGTGAGTGGAAGGTAATCAAACAGATCTGTGAAATACTTCCAGACGTTGGCGTTGCCATACTTCCGCAGGCACTCGTCATAAAAACCATACACTTGTGTAATTTGTCTGCTTTCGTGATTGCCCCTCAGTATAGTAATGCGTTCTGGGTAACGCACCTATAGATAAAGAAAACTCTTCTTTAACACAAGGTTTGTACCGTCAATATGGAAATAAATAGTAACAGAATATTTTAAAAAGCAGCCAAGCATTCGGCTCTGTTACAGACCAGCACATGTCCGTTAACGCATTTCAATTTACATCCGTCTAGCTCAAGCCAACGGTGGCTTTCAAAGCTCCCCGTGAGCATGGTTTTGCCCAAGGCTTCTCTAGAAAAGCTGTCAAACCATACCTTCAACGCCACTAGAAGAGTCACTGTTTCCACCGAGTAATAGCCTCTGTCCACGTAGTCTCCCATGAACAGGTAATTTGTGTCTGGCGACTTCCCACCAATTCTAAAGAGTTCCATAAGGTCGTGGAATTGACCGTGGACATCCCCACAGACGGTGACGGGGCAACGTACCTCTTGCACATTCGATTCTTTCGTAAGAATTTCTTTAGCCTAGCAAGAAAAACACATTTAGGACAACAAGGTAGGAAGGTCCTCCATAAGCAGGCGCAGATGTTAACTCCGCTGCATTTGCAGCTGAAACCTGATTTCACTCCAGCAGCTCAAGCTGACCACTGGAAAAACAGTTTGTTGGGTAGGCAAAGACAAAGTGCCTTTTAAAAATTCCTGTGTACAATGACAAGCGGCTTTGCTACTGCGAGGCCAGGTCATTAATGTCTTATTGCACCACAAGCACTGACAAACAAATTCAACGAAGTAACCGAAAAAGTTAATTCCCAGCCTCCCCTGCAACGAAGCAGTGTGAACTTCAAGACTTGCACTGGGTATACGGCTTCCATCACCGTTGGGGTTCACCCATGAATCCTCTGCTTCTTACAAACTCTTCTCAAGTGCAGACCAAAGTACTGTTCCAGTAAGCTTCAACAGCATCACGGGCAGACATTATCTTCCTAAGCAGAACTGATTTTTAACATATAGATTTGGACAGATTTCTCCACCTATGTGTTCAACACAGCTCAAGCCTGTTCATCGCGTCCTCTCTGTGGATGAGAGGAAATGGCCTCAAGTTGCACCAGGGCAGATTTAGATTGGATATTAGAAAAAAATTTCTTCACTGAAAGGATTATCAGGCACTGGAATGGGCTGCGCAGGGAAGTGGTTGAGTCCCCATCCCTGGAGGTATTTAAAAGACAGATTGACAAGGTGCTTAGGGACATGGTATAGTAGTGGACAGGTATGGTTGGACTCCATGATCTTAAAGGTCTTTTCTAACCAAATGATCCTATGACCTCAGCTATGCGAACTGCGGCGGCGCTCAGCACTCTAACCTGGTGCCAAAGTCAAGTGCTATTCAGTTTCACATTACCTAGAAGCTTTTACCTCAAGAACCACAGCTGTCCCCCCAGTAATGTGGGCCACCCCGTGTCCTGTCAGCAAGAGTTCAATGTGAAACTCGTAGGAACAGAAACTAGTCCGTATTCTCGCCATCTGCTGTAAGGGTAGAAATACCAGAGGAGCTAGTGCACGCCACTCAGGCAACTACTAGTTTTTTGCACAACTTGATTTGCAAAAGCACACATAAAGCTAGATATTATTTGATACTTACACCAGTAGGAAAACTATGACCTCCTAGATTCCCCGTAGAAGTCATCTGACTTGCAACGATGCACCTACACACAGACTCCCCCCTGCCACCTTTTAGTCTGACTACCATTTCAGCCGCTCAGCGATCGCTCTCAATCCCACGCAGCCATGTAGAACCAGTCGCGTTGCCACCTTTGCTGGCAACGCAGCAGCAGGCTGGAACAACTCCTCTGCCAGCACTGACAGCTACTCCTCGCTGCCTTCCTCCTCTGGGATGCCTCAGAATCCCCCCATCGCTGCACAGCCATAAACCTCAAGCGCTCTCCCAAGACCAGGATTTTGCAGCAGCGGGTCCGTGCCATGGGAACAGCACTACGAACAGCTTGTTCACTCCCTATCGACGAAGCCAGCTCATGGTGTGATCACTGAGCAGAGATGATGTTGAAAAAGGCTGCACACGACAAAGCAGCTCATCTGGCAGCAACGCTGGGCAACCACTACGGCACAGGATGAGCTGAGCTGTGTTACTCTGCCAAACAAGAACCAACGCCGGCGCCGGGGGTTGATGAGGCTGCCCCAGCTCTCCAGGGGTGCTGCGTTCTCAGGCTGCATTGCAGTGAGTATGAGATGACTGGAGCCCTGTGCCAGGAAAGGAACCTTCTCTGCACATTCCCCGAACACACGGGAACTAACAAATCCATTTCCCTTACAGGGGGGCAGATTTCTTCTTCTTGCTTACGCTACTGAGAAAAACAAGTATCCCTAAGCTTTGCTTTACTAACTTGGCACAGAACATCACTGCATATGCAAAAGGCCCTTCTCTCACCCAGGGCACTTTCTGCCTGCCAGATTTCCAATCTTCTTCCAAGCACAACAGTTTAACAGCTTCTAGAGGCAGGTCACATACAACTGGAAAAGCCATGTCAGAGGCAATTTAAACATACGGAGCCACAAACAGCTTCCCTGGCCGTACCCAGCTGGCAACAAAATGACCACAGATGGAGGGATGGCATCCCTGGGTTTAGTCATCTCTTCCTCTACACCCAGCAGTTCCTCTGCTAATTACAGCCATGCAATGTAGCCTATCTGCATTACCTGATTATCATTATCAAATATCATGGGTTTTTTGCTGCCTCCAGCTCATCAACTGATGCAGATCAGCGCTCCAGGCACATCTGAGGCATAGGGAACACCCAGAGATAGGCTTGGTCCAATTTGGACAAAAGGGATAGAAGATCAGCAGTGCGGAGCAGTCACCAGCAGGTGACGATCTGGCTATTCATCGCCAAGTCCCTTAGCTCAGGATGATGTAGCTCCCACCTGCTGCTACCAGGAAGAAGCTGCTTACCAAGGACACTCTCAGCGGGCTCCCCGAGGACGCCCAGGTTCACATTTGAACCTCAGTTACCTTGCCTCTTTTAGGGAAAGTGCCAATTTGGAAGGAATAACTAAACCCCAAGCAGTCAAGGGCTTGGACAGCATCCAACGTGCCCCTTGCACGGTACGTAACCTGAGGGATGTGACCCCGATCCTCAAGGACATGTCCTGCACATGGACTCGATGACGTGGGGTCTACCTAAACTGACTGGAAACTGCTGAAGGGGTTGTGGCTTTGAGTGCAACAGCAGTACTCAAGTTCTGTTCTAGCATCTTTAAAAGCACCTGTAACACCTTTTGAGAGCTTCTACCCTCTGGGGGAGACAAATATAAAACGCAGTCACAAAACAGCTGCTCAGCGTGTTCTGACTTGCACAAAGCAACAGACGGGGTTTTGTTGTAAACCAGTGCTAACGTAACGACAAAAGGCATGAGGTATTTTCTGCCTTTTTGTATCACGCATACTGCTCCCTTCCCAGATGTGTAAAAAGGAACACACTTACTTCAAGCCTCCAGGAACAAGATGCAGGATGCTGTACAGATACCATACATACTTACCAGAGTCTCAACCACATCATCACTCTGCACCTCTCCGATCTGCCCAGAAAACCTGTGCACCCAACCTGAGAACTCATACAGGTAAAGCACCACAGGCAACAGAGAAGAGCTTGTTTTGTGCAGTAACAGGGCAGACGTACTCATGTTAAATGCATCCCAGAAAGCTGGGCCAGCCCAAGTCCTGAAATTTTAGTACTAGGAGACTCTAGAAGATTCCCCTCATGAGAAAGGAGGAGCCAGCAGCTTCTTAAGCTGCCTACCAGCTGTTATTGTGAGGCCTATTTGAGCTTACTATGTAGACAAACATACACGTACATGAATAGATTAAGCCTGTCATTTTAACACCGCAGAGCTGGTTCAAATCAGGCTTGGGAGCTGTGCCTGGCTGGCCACAGAAGTTTGCCCTCGTGACTTTCTAAATGCAGAACAAGACCTTTAAAATCTTAAGCATCATTGAAAACACCCCAGAAAAGCAGCCACCTTTGTAGATTGGAACACAAGCTTGTCTGCTGCCCAGTCCTCAATCCGTGTGGAGGGAGGCTGGAGAACGCACGTCCCAATAATTTACCGTGTTGTCATCGTACGAGGAAGCCGAGCGGTCTCAGGGCTCGAACACAACCATTAATGCGCTGCTCCAAAACCCGAGATGCTACACCAGCTTTGAGATTACCGTCGGGATCACCAGGAGACTAATCCTTCTGTGAGAGACTTAACAATCAAATCCACATCAACTATTAACGCTGTTTAGATTTGTCTATGATAATGGTGTAGGCTGATTCCATGGGTGAGGGGATTATGATCCATCCAGGAGGCAGATTTTCAGCACCGTGCTTTCTCTAGAGAAAACCAAATACCCCAAGCACCTGCTTTATGTACAAGATCCTTTGAGAGCACAGAAACTCAACTTCTTCTGGAAGGTTCATTTACTGCACCATGAGCTCAGTTTGACCCTCGTAGAGGCTCCTAATTCAGGAATCAGAAAAGCCAGCCATGGAGTTTCTGACCAAAATTCCACAGAACCATCATTCCATCAGCTGCAGCAGACCAAACTGCTCTGTCAGCAAGTGTGCTGAGGACATTAAAAATCTCAAGGAGCTTGGCGTGAACAAGAACCAGCTAGATTGTCCCCAACTGAGACAGAAGCCAGGGGGACGGAGCTGCCCTTCAGCAACAAGGCAGCAGAAGACACCCTGAAGCCTCAGGAGTGACAGGGACTGTCAAGGTGCACACGTGTTCCTAGCGGTACCTGGGCCAGCATATCCTGGGATGAGCGTCATTGCTGGAGAGATGAAATATTCCTGGCCACGACTCAACACAACACTTGGAATTTCATGGTTTGAACAGCATCCAGGATGCTACTTGGCTCCATCACTCGTACTAATTTCACCAATTAGTGCAGAAGAGCTTGCTAACTCATTCCCCTAAAATTATTCTCAGCTGAAATGATCTCCGAGGGCAGAAGCATCATAGGTACGTGCCAGTAACAGCAGTTCTCCCTACGGCATCAACTGGCTCCTGCTGCTTGGTTTGAAGAATGAGTTTACAATTACCATTCAATAACCGTACAAGAAATGCAAGTCTTCATTAGCGATTAAGAACCCTTCTCCTCCCACCACTTCACAACACAAAGCTCTCAAGCTGCTCACAGCAATGAGATTGTAACCCTTCTTACACATCCAAGGAACAAGGATAGGAAAAAAGAAGCTGCAAAGAGAGAGACAGTTATGGATGGTTGCTTGCCTATGTTTAATTTAAGAGACAGCCTTTTACTTGCCTTCTTTCATATTCCATTTTATTACCTTGGTGTGTCCTGGTTTCGGCTGGGATAGAGTTAATTTTCTTCATAGTAGCTAGCATAGTGCTGTGTTTTGGATTTAGTACCAGAAGAATGTTGATAACACACTGATGTTTTTAGTTGTTGCCAAGTAGTGCTCAGACTACTCAAGGACTTTTTGAGCTTCTCCTGCTCGGCC